CCCACATATATTCTCTCACAAACACACTGCCTTGCTTACTAAGTGTCACTGTCAAACACATTTTCATGATTTTGCATTTTCTCCCCCAGTCACTGAACACACATGTCACTGTCACTCCACGTTGTAACTTTCTCACTGTTCACTCGCTTTTTGCCCTCTGGCCACTCGCTCGTCAACATATTTTCTTTGATCTTTTCATACCTATAGACTCTTCTCTTTTACTCACTCGCACTCACAGCCACTGGATTATTATTTTCTTGTATTTTTTTTTCTCCACATACTCTTTTTTTTCTCTCTCTCTGGCTCCACTTTTCTCGTTTCTTTCGACACACGTTTCCCCTCACTCTCCTGCTGAACACCCCTCTCACAAGATACTTTTGGCCCCCACATTCTTCCTGCCCACATACACCCTTCATATCACCGCCTCGTTGTCTCAGTGTGGAGAGTGGCTGTCCCACTATCTCTAGCGAGGTCCTTCTCCCCTCACCTCCCCTCCCTTCTACTCCCCACTCCCCACTCATCTCCCCGACACTGCTAACTCGACTTTCCTCATCACTGTCTCCTTGTATCACTGCGTTTCACCGCCGTGGCACTTTCCTCTATTTATGACAGGCGGAACCAATCTTGTAATCTACGGCCGCGCCAGATGGACTCGTCTTCCACCAGGAACCTGACTGATGGACGCCTGAGACTCGGCTAAGTTCAGTCCTCTTAGGCTAGTTGTTAGTGGGACGCCGTATAGGGAGTTATGGATGAATGTACACTGGGAATGTTAGGGATGTGAATGTCGTGGATGAACGTTGCTTGGTAGATTAGGGAGTGATGCCACGGAGGGAGAAGGATGTTAAATAAAAGGATGTTTAAGGCATTAGGAACCCGATTAGTGTGTTTTAATATCAAAGTTAACTTCGTCTAGAACAGTTGGAAAGTTAGTGTAGAAGCTACTGAAGGGTTAAATAAATAAGTTTACTAATGTGGATGATACATGGGACCACGAAATTACCATAGGACTGCACAGAACGAGTGTGTAAATGGTAAATAATTTACGGAAAATCATTTATTTAATGTGTGATTAGTGAAGTAGTGACAACCAAGAATGAATAAGTAACAAAGAATGAATAAAGCACATGAGTGAATGACGAAAATATCAACATTAGAACTTTTGAACAGACAGACTGGCAGGCTTGAGTATTACGGAAGACTGTTGGCAGGTTCAAGGTGATGACAGTGACAGCGTATAACATGACTCAGCAAATGTAAACAAACGCAGAGTACCCAGGAAAAAATTCCAAACATTTCCCGGTTGTAAGTCTTTTTAGTAATGGTAGGTCATTAGAACTAGTGCATGCGAGAAATGACTAGATATTATCACCTGGTTGCTAATAGTTATGGTTACCTGATGGTATCATAAGTTCAGTGAATGGTTGGTAAGTTTCATTGACCAGTCATGATTTTTTAATGAAGCTAAAGTATGAAATTGATATGAAGTGATGAAATGAATAGACTAAGAATAGGAGATGAAGGAGAAAGTGCAATAAACATGGAAATTAATGAGCTTTCTAATTAGCACAACATTAAGTGATTTGGGGACACTAAGTATGCAACATCGATATAGTGTAAATGTGTTAGTGCCAGTGGTAGAAGAAAATGAGGTGGTAGCACAGATGAAAAAAAGAGTTTACAGGAGGTGAGATGACAGGCAGGTATCATCCTCCAGTGTGAAAATGTCATGATCACTTAGTATGGTTAGCTGGTCGGGTCAGACCTATCTTTGGGAGAAAATAAGGGGCTGGGAGACTAACACAACAAGCATTTAAAAAGAGGTGAAGTTATCACAAGAATAGCTTAGTAAATGGCTGATGGTAGAAAAGATTGGACATGTCACTTAGTGGTTAATGTTTTTTTTTTAAAGCTGTCGAATAAATTATCCAGAAACAAGAAAAAAAAATACACTGACATGTGTCTATGCACAAGAAAATGAACAAGACAGGTAAGAACCAGGAGGGAGAGAGTGACACGAGAGAGGAGGCTGACAGCGAGACAGAGTGACAGGGAGCAAGAGCGTGGGATCCAGTACAGGAATCTGACGTATCTGGAGAAACGGGCTGGACGTAAGGAGTGACTTGCCTAACGAGCGTGCCAGGTAGCCTCGCGAGTGGAAGGTGTCGACTCTCGCGGGGATCCGTTATGCAAGGGAGCTGTCCAGGTCACCTAGGCAGACCTGGGGGACCTGGAGGGACACTGTTATGACGGGGCACTCGGGGACGGGTCGAGTGATCGCGAGGGACAGGGAGTGAGATCAAGGCAGAGTGTTGTGGCGGGTGCCTTACGGGGGGCTGAGGCAGAGACAGGCAGAGGATGGGGTTTACGAGGTGCTCACGACCGCCTCCTCCACCACCACCACCCAGCTGCCGCTCGCGATACTAGTTCGGGTTTTACCTGGGGAGGATATGACACTCCTGCACTAGGGTACATGTGGTCACGTGAGGATAGTACGTACCTGGAGGGTAAGGTGCGGGGGGCATAGTCTCTGCTGTGGGGTAGTTCCTCAGGTAGCCGTCGTGGGGATATCCTGCGGCAGCTTCCATGGCAGATTTTGGGGCACCATCTGCCGCCGTTAGGTATGGCACGGGCTGGCCGTGGGCATCGACATGGCCCACACGCCCGTAGGGAGGGTAGTTGCACCAGGTCTGAGCGGCAAAGGCTTGGCATGACTCCGTGGTCATCGAGGATGGCCCCGGTGCGTAGTCGTATTTGTTGGGCCAGAAGGCCAAAGTCTTGCGGTCAGCCACTCTGGTGTCCGCAATGTTATAGTACGTGGGCGTGACCCCGTCCCGCCCGAAGGCCTGGCCGTACTGGGAGTCGAAGGGCGCCGTGGCTGCTGCATGCTCCGGCTGGTAGTTCCAGGGCTGTGTGGAGTGCGAGTGCCTGATGACACCCGCCGCGGTGCCAGAGTCAGGCCCCGTGGGGCACTCGGGCGGGTGCGGGTACGTGGACACAGCCAGGGTGGTGGCCACGCGCTTGGCCGGGATGTGTAGTGGTGTTTGGCCCGTAGGCTCCAGGCCTCGTGTGCCGGCCGAGTCCTCATACAAAGCTCCGTTCATCCTGTCTAGTCCTCCTCCCTCGCTGCTGCCCACTGCATGGTGGTGCCGCCACGGTAGTGAGTCCACAGTCGCCACGGTGCCGCCGCACAGTCACACACGATCGGAAAAAGAGAACAACACACACACATTAGCTGGCGTGCACTAGCACGGCCGCCGCATGTGCACCACCACGCTCGGCACGGGACCAGTAGCCGCGGCAAAAAACAACCAGCGTGTGTTGAGGCCGCGGCGAGCTCAAACACTATCTGGTGGCCTGGCCAGACACCGCGCTCTCAGCCAGGGGAGGCGGGGCTACGCTTGGCGCCGCCCACAGAGAGTAGCCCCGCCTCCTCTTGCACCGCCTCTGCTCTCGCGCGCCATTAGTGGTGGAAACTGGTCACGTGATGCCTTAAGCTCCTCCCACCCTGCCCTGCGACCCTGGCGGCCGCCCGGTCCGGCACTAACACACAAATTATTACATGCGGTAATTAAGGCGGTGTGCCGGTCTGAGTGATTGACAGAACACACCTGTAGCCGCCATGTACCTTGACAGGCAGTTGCTATCTGCCTTCACTGCCTACTGACACCTCGACACTTGCTCTCATAGCTAGCTTACACACTAAGTATACCTCTTTTCCTAACCCTCCCACACCACACTTCCGTTCCTGGTGTACTTCCCCTCACACATCCGTCCCCTCATGGTACTTCTTCCTATTCCTCTTCCCCTTCTCGCACTCTCCTCTTCCCCTCTGAACCTCACCCTGCCCTCTCTCCTCGGGATGGGCAGACGGAGGCAGACAGTAGTGGACGAGGACAGGCCCCTGCTGTGGCACCCCCGCCCCTGCTAGGCTCATCAAGACACCAACCTCCCTCCCTCTCCCCCTGCCCTCCCTCTCCGGGCGTGCGAGGAACCAAACCTGCCCTGACCACAACACCGTCTCGCGCCGCCCGTCCTTCTTGCGTGGAATTAAAGGGACCAACACCTCTTACAGGAGACCTCGAGAAACACGTCGACAAATAATACCTCAGAGGAAGGGCGCATGATCCTCGCAAGTCCATTATTTTACAAGCTTTTAACGTTATTTTTCAAGCTTCCAGGAAGAATTGGACAAGTGTCCCACCCCAGGGAGCCTTCTCATATCTCGACGATACACGCACGGTGGCCGCACGCATCTATACTAGTTTGTCCTGATCCCTCACATGCCCTCCCGTGTACCACACAGAAAACGGATAAGCCTCTGAAAGCACAGCCAACCATCTGGTGACTGACTGCTCGCCACGGGAAGCAATGAACCTCTTTCCCCCTCTCACCCCAATTTGAGACTAATTACCTTGCTAATGATGAACCCGCCTCCTCGCCCTCACGCCCACTGGTTATCGGATGCGGTCTCTGGGGGCGAGCGTGGAGGAGCCTTGCGTTAAATTATCGACCAGATCTGTGACCGAGGTGTGGGGACGTGACGGGGAAGGGGAGAGGGGAAGGGGTAGGGTCAGAAAGGGGAAGCAGGCGAGAGGAGAAGGAAGGGAAGGACCGAGAGAGTTGTCGAGACAGAAAATGGGATGGCGAAGGGAGGGCGGGGAGGAAGGAAGGGAAAGAGCGAGGCATACGAAAGGGGCGGGGGGGAAGAGGGGAGGGGAGAGGGGATATTTCGCGCGGGTAAAGAGGTGCGAAAGGGGGACGTGAAGAGGGTAGAAGACGGTACAAATGGACTGAGATCTATAACGATGAAGACATATTTTGCGCGAAAAGTGCTCAAAAGTAAAAGATAACGAAGAGACGCATCTTAAAAAAAGATCAAAGTACAGACAAGGATCGTTTTCAGAATCTCCAAGAAATAAAGAAGACATAGAAGGAGGGGAAGGGGAGACAGAACAAGAGAAGGTAACAGCGAACGGGAAAGGAAAGACGGAAATAGG